GATTGTTATATTTGTTGCAAATCTGTCACTTAACTGTTTTATCTGGAAAGATAGTAAAATAAGTTCCCCAGCAGCTCATGGCAGCCATTTTCCAAAAAAGATGGGATGAGCATAATATGCCAATCCCTCTGAAGAGGCGATTAACTAAGTAGATGTTTCTAATCTAAATGATGCTGCATTCTTTTATAACCAGGCATTTAAAATAGTGTCTTGGAAATGGTCTTGTCCCAAGACAGGACACTGACTAGGTGATGAATTACATTGCTTCCAGCTCTGAGATTTCCATTACTTGGGCCATCGTTGCATGCCTCCAGTTGTTTGCATGAAACAAACTTGATACAACGAAATGGAGAGTACTCTTGGTTTTTAATTTGTACTTTATACGCTTGCCATTAACTTTCACAGAAAGCAAAAAAGCAGAAGTAAATGACAACAGGGAAAGAGGAATGTTCGTTCAAAATGTGCATTTGTGAATCTCAAAACCAGGCAGTGGTGTGCCATGGAACAGAAATCTTAGTCATCTGTCTTGTCTGGTAACACAAGGCACAGTTAATGTGGCCGGGCCTCTAGTTCTGCTGACAGGACATGTGCTGATAAGTTGTGAAGGCTTGGATTCAGTAGAGCCACATAGAATTACAGGGGTCTTGTGAATGAAAAGCTTCTGCAAGCTTATCAGCAGAAAGATAGCAGAGAGGCCTTGCTTCTATTACCAGTGTTCTGAAGATGTTTATCACCCAGCCTTCTGAGAACAGTAGTTTGACCCATACCAAACACTTCAGAAACAATGTCAACACACCCAAGACCACAGCCAGCAAGGAATTTTTTGAGATAAGATTACAGCTTTTTCCTTAAAGGGATGCCAACCAAGTTAGCCAATCTCCTAATATTCCCTGAGTATAGCAACCCTGTGAGTTATCCTTCATACCAGAGAATTTTAGAAGCTCAATTTTTATGCTTCCAAATACAAATATTCTGCTGTTGTTTTCTGAAGTATGCCCAAAACTCTAGCAATATCTAAGAAAATTCCAGCAGGGTCAAGGCTCAGAAAGCCTGAGATTTGTGCCCATGGGACCAGCCAGTTGTAGCCACTGGAGACAGCTGGCTATTAGGCAAAAGCACCCTCCCTCCCTCCCTCCCTCCCTTCCTCCCTTCCTCTTTTCTTTTTTCTTTTTCCTTTCCTTTCCTTTTCTTTTCTCTTCTTTTCTTTTCTTTTTTTTCTCTTGCTTTATTGCCCAAGCTAAAGTGCAGTGACATGATCTCAGCTCACTGCAACCTCTGCCACCCAGGCTCAAACAATTCTCATGCCTCAGCCTCCCAAGTAATTGGGATTTTAGTCATGTGCCAGCACGCCTGGCTAATATTTATTTATTTATTTATTTATTATTTTTTGTAGAGACTGAGTCCTACCATGTTGGCCAGGCGGGTCCTAAACTCCTGGCCTCAAGTGATCCGCCCACCTCTGCCTCCCAAAGTGCTGGGATTATATGCGTGAGCTACCATGCCCAGCCACATCCTTTCATCTTGTTTCAGGATTTTATTTCTTCTCTGTTGGCTACATGTGGGCCAGAGGGCCTCCCAGGCAGATTAGACCTCTAGTCTACGTCTAGGGCAAAGTCATTACAGGAAAAGGTGACTCAGTCTTTGAGTAGATATGAAAAACCACTGTAATAATTTGTTTAAATACCTAGACCTGTGTTTGATTTAAATATAGTATGCAAACTGGCACTGTCAGGGGGCCTGTGTGTGGGTGAGGTGGAGCTGGTCAGGTATTCTCCCAAGACCATGGTGATGATGAGAAGCAGCAGCATATCTAGAGACAACTCACCTTTGATTTGTCCAGATGCTGATGGTTAACTTCTTGCTTTGAGGTGTCTCACATTCATTTCTTTGTATTCCCTGTGCATAGCCATCATGTGGCTTTCCGGGTTCTAATTCCTCCTGCCCAGAGCTGTGCCGTATATAGTTGCCAAGATTAATTAAAAACAAAGCTACAAAAAAAAAAAAAAAACTCTTTTATCATGTCATTTCCCAGTAGTCTCATAATAAAGTTTATATTCCTCTGGTTTATTAATGAATGTCCTCACTAATCTTTCTATCCAGGTTCTCTTTCTCCAGTAATCTTTATTTCATCCAAAGGATCTATTATTGGCTGTTAACTAACTGTTCATTTTTCCTGCCTCTGTGCTTTTGTTCCTGCTGTTTCTCCCTTTTGGAATTTTTTCACCGTTCTATTCACATACACCTCTTCCATTAAACCTTTTCAGATCAATGCTGCCTACAACACTGATCTGATCCTCCTTTGAACTCTGCTGACTTGTCAGCTAAGTCCACACCAGCCTTCTGGCAATTAATCACATACAGCCTTGTGAATTTATCTTTATTCTGAGTGCTCAATCTTGCTTTTTCATTTTATCTGTTTCTCTCTCTCTTTCTCTCTCTGCTTCTCTCTACTATTGTGTGTGAATGTCTGTGTACAGCTAGGTAAGAGGTCTATGAAAATAAAAATCTGTCTTATATATCTTTAGAATAGATGACCTAATTGGTGCTCCATGACATAATTATTACTTCGGAATTCTCACTGAGGATCTTAATTTGCATGCTGTTTCTGTGCTGCTGTGCAGCTTTTGAACATCTGGGAATCCTAGCTTTCTCAATACTAATAGAAACAACAACAGCATACCCAAGGAGTGAGAGCTAGGAAGACATCTGAAATGGACTTAAAGGGCTTTCTTTTGAATAACTCAAAACTGTTCTATAAAGCCAAAGTAGGTAGATTCTAATGCTGATCTCCTCCAAGTTTAATGAGTATTCAGAAATCAAGGATTTAGAGGAAATTAAATAAAGTTTGCATGATGTGCTTTTCCTGCATGCCCACATCTTGCCTTTTCTAGCCTTTCTATTCTATCACGGCAGTGTGGCTTTCCCTAGACTTGCTCTTCCTCCAACTGCATTCTTAACCCCATATTCAGAGGGAGCCTGGAGAACCAGGCTGCCATAGACATGAAAGGGCTCAGTAGTATTGTTTGTTTGTTTGTTTTGAGATGGAGTCTCCCTCTGTTACACAGGCTGGAGTGTGATCTTGGCTCACTGCAATCTCCGTTTCCCAGGTTCAAGTGATTCTCCTGCCTCAGCCTCCTGGGTAGCTAGAATTACAGGCATGAGCCACCACACCCAGTTCTAGTAGTGTAGTTTAGTGCTCAGTTCGGCTCTGGAGTTCAGATTTCACCTTGCCCCTATGAGCTGCATGTTCTTAGGCAAGTTAACTTTTTAAGTCTGCAGTTTCTTCTGTAAAATGAGGATAATGACAGAACCTGCCTCATAGAGTTATACAGAGAACGAAATGATAATCCACATAAAATGTTTAGGCTATTGCAAGCACATTATAGGATTGAAAATAGTCAATATATGGCATACAGCTTACAAAAAACATGCTGAGATTTAAAAAACAAAACAAACTCTTGATCTCCAATCACTATGCCTTTAAAACCGCACAAAGAATTCTCTATCCTCCATGTCTCGTTTCTCAAGCCCATGCTCTTGCATCCTCTCTAATTAGGCTGTGGCCCCCTCCATTCCACTACAGCTGCTTTTTTCAAAGTCACCAATGACCTCCATGTTGCTAAGTTTAAGACTTAATTATTAGATCAACTCCCCTGACCTATCAGGCAGCATTGGACACAGATGATTTCTCCCTCATCTGTAAGACATTTTCCACATGCAGCCTCCAGAACACCCCACCCTCCTGGTTTTACTCCTACCTTACTGGCTACTTTCTTGTCCTCTCATCTTCCTGCTTCTGACTTAGTCCTTGCTTTTTGTCTTTGTCCATATCCACGCCCTTTGCTGATCTCACCCAGCCTCATGGCTTCCAACCCTGTCTCTCCTCTGACAGCTCCCCAATTATCTCCAGCTCACCAGCACTTTCTCCCCTGAGCTCCAGACTTGATGGCAAGCTGCTATTCAATTTCTCCACTCAGGCACCAAATGGGCATCTTAAACATGTCTAAAACTAAACTCCTCTGTTCCCTCCCCCAGTCCTGTTCCTCTTAGATTTTTCTGCATCTCAGAAACCCCATCCTAACACCTGAATTATCCTTGACTCTTTCTTCATATCCTGTGCACAGTCTGTCAGCAAATCATATTGGCCCTTCTAGCAAAACATATCCAGAATCTGATCACTTCTAACAACCATTGGGACCACCCTACTTCTAAACCACCAACGTCCCTCACTTGGTATAGTGCAGTAGCCTCCCAACCAGTATTCCTGTTTCCACTTGCCCTCAATATAGAAACCAGAATGATTTTTAAAAATATAAGCCAGATTGAATCACTCTGGCTCAGAGTCTTCTAGGGGGTTTTCACACCAGGTGAAAGCCAGAGGCATAACACTGGCCCACCACAAGCTTGTTGACCCAGCTCCCGGCTGCTTTTCTGACTTTCTTTCTTACTGTTCCCCCTGGCTTACTCCGTGAGTGGCATTGGGATCTTTGTGTTTGCTTTTCTGCCTAGAATGCCCTTTGCCGGATGGCATCACCACCACCACCATGCCTTGGCTCACATGTCATGCCATGAGACTGTCCCTGACCAACTGTTCAACCTGCACCCCCTCTTCCAACCCCAGCATTCCCTAATCACTTTCCCTACTTTATATTTTGATGTAGCACTTCTCACCACCTGTCATACTTTTCATTTTGCTTATTTTGTTGTTACAGTCTATTAAATGTATTTCCCACCAGAATGTAAACTCCATGAAGGCAGGAGTCTCTGTTTCTGCCCACTCCTCTAGCCATAGTACCTGGAATGGTGCTTCATACATTAAAAACTGAGTGAGTGTTTGGCTTTCTTGCTGTTCTTGAGAGGGTTTGCTGGACGGGGGTCTACAGCTGGCCTGGACATTCTGCCTTGTGCCCTAGCTTCCTGAGGATGGAGCTGTCTCACTCCCAGGTTGGTGGCCTGCCTTCACTGCCTCTGACATGGCTATGTCTGTCCCTTTTCCTCAGATGCATACTCTCATTCCTCAAGTGAGAATGGAGGCAAATCCGAGTCTGTGGCCAACCTGCAGGCCCAGCCCTCCCTGAACTCCATCCACAGTTCCCCGGGTCCCAAGCGCTCCACCAACACCCTTAAGAAGTGGCTGACAAGTCCTGTGCGTCGCCTCAACAGCGGGAAAGCAGATGGAAACATCAAAAAGCAGAAGAAAGTTCGTGATGGTCGGAAGAGCTTTGACCTGGGATCTCCCAAGCCTGGGGATGAGACAACCCCTCAGGGAGACAGCGCTGATGAGGTACTTACACAGGGCCTGAGCTGTCCATCAGGAGGGCCTTCTGACATGTCTCCTTCCTCAGGGTTTTGTGTCTCCATCCCTACACAGGATGAAATGGTAGAACTTTATTTTCTCACTTAAAAGAGCAACGTGCACTGCATGATTTTGTTTTTTTGTGTATGATGGGGTTAGTAATACTCTTTCTCCTATGACCTAGGCCATCTCAAGTCTCCACTGGTGTGTTATCTTGAGACTAAGTGATTTGGATTCTTTTTTATTCTTACGACACTGGCCAGTTTGATTTATGGCCAGTCCAGAGACTATCGCTTAGGACATGCAGCAGACAGAAAGTATTTGCCAGATTAGGAGGTAGGACCTGGGCCTGAGGAGAGTCGTTTGGTCATTAGTTCCCTACCTCTTCTAAGGACTACATTGAAACCAGCTAGACCTGTTTAGATTTAGAATAAAAGAATGAAGATCATTTCCCTTTGAACACAGGACTGCGCTGGAAGATTATAGCTGTTTTCAAGTCTCTTGAGTAGTGCCACACATCAAAAGAAACAGACCATCCAAGGTTACTCCAGATAACTATGATGAACAGATGAAGATTACAATAGGCGGGTTTCAGCTCAAAAAAGAACTTTAATCAGGGGGTCAGTCAGTGATAAAATGGGCCTTCATGAAAACTAATGAACAGGGACACCCATACTGGAAGGCTTGAGAGATGACAGCCAGAGTTGGGCTGGACGAACCCGAGATTCTGTAACCAAAAGACAGTGGATATGTTTTGGTTTGGGAAGTGAGATGCCTGTTTTATTTGGCACACAAACCTGCTCTAATCACTGATGTGGCTAAGAAATTCTTTGTGATGTGTAAGTAGACTCCCTCTTGCTGTGATTTGATGCTACCTGCCATTTCTTCCTCTGGAAATGGCAGCTGAACCTGGCAGCATTTGGGCTATGGTTTCATAGCCCTACAAAAATGGAAAAGTTAGGCTGTCTCTGGCTACTTCCAGCTTTCTCTTTTCTTGCTAGTTGATAAGACAGATAGTTTTTGTTTTTGCTTCTTTTGAGGGGTATGTGTGTGTTCTGCATTGGTGCTAGCTCTCCTTTGAAATAAGCAGGTGTATCCATGTTACAAAAGAGGAAACTGTAGATGAAATGATAGGAGTGAGTTGAGAGAGGAATTCTCCTCCTATGTATTTTTTTTTAGTGTCAAGTCCCCAGCCATAGGCATGTTTAGCTTATGACATGTAACTAATGCTGCTCTTTTGTTCTAGAAGAGCAAGAAAGGTTGGGGTGAAGATGAGCCGGATGAAGAGTCACACACACCCCTCCCACCACCTATGAAGATTTTTGACAACGACCCTACACAGGATGAAATGGTAGAACTTCTTTATTTTCTCACTTAAAAGAGCAACGTGCACTGCGTTATTTTGTTTTTTGTGTGTGATGAGGGTAGTAATACTCTTTCTCCCATGTTATCTCTTCTTCCACGTGAATCCATGGTGATATGAATTGTGTCTCTATTTGGTAGGTGTCCTTTCCCCAACCCTGGAGGTCCAACTTCATACTAGGCAGTGAAGGGGGTGTGTGTGTTGAATTCTCAAAGTGGGAATCTCCTGGTGTCTTGTCCTGTTGATAAAGGGTAATGGCTCTGCCTTTGGAAGCAGCAAATCCTAAAAGGAGCAATTCCAGGTAGTTGCAGGCCACAACTATTTTGTCATGCCTGACTGTACAACCTACCTGTTAGTTGTTTTCCCTGTACTCTAACTAATGGTAGCTACCAATCAAGCCCAGTGTTGTTCAAATTTTGCAGTGACTATATGAGGAAAAGTTTTGACAAAGGTGGGCAAACCTAATATGTGAAATTGCCTGACTTTGCTTTGCAAGATTCCCCAGCTCACTGGTATGCAGAGGCTCCCTAGTATTTGAAATATTGATGCTCCTGTGTCTCCAGTCACCTGGTGATCATCCCAGTTGTTCTGGAGCAGAAGTGTAGGTTAGATGTGCTTCCAGGTACTGACCTGAGGCTTGAGGCAGCTTTGTGTTCTCCCTCACTTGTCACTCAGTGTCCTTGCAGCTCTGCTTTCACATCACTGTGTTTTTCTTGCCTTATTGTTGCTGATTGTCTTAGACTCTGGACGTGGAAGCGTTGGTTTTGGGTTTTGACTGTAGAGCACTTCCCATTTGCTTTCCGGAGTGACGTTTTGTTGCAGTGGTGATGGTGGACGCCTTGGCTTGCCTAGCTGTCTCTCCAGGCTCTCCTGTGTTCTCTAGTGCTCTGCCCTGCAGTGGGACAGCCTCCTTCCAGGAGGTGGCCCATCAAATATAAGCAGGTAACAAATCTCTGTAATACCACGGAGCAGGCATTTCAAAAAGCACCGTCTGTTGATGTGTCCTTTCTGGTGACATCCCAGTTCTTATTTTTATTCTCTCTGATTTGCATTTGAATTGTTAACCCACCACCATTAACTGAAGTCTTCCTTTGTGCTCGGCTAAAAGGACAGAGTCTAGGGACTCTGAGATGTGGCAGCTGCCCTCATCATGTGACTCACCTAGTCGTAGCCCCTCCTAGGTGATGTTAGTGGCCCCCATCTTCAGGGCCAGCTCTTTGATTTTGGACTGTTGGGAAGAAACATAGTAGGAAGCCTGGTGTTCTACTGTCCTGGATTCCTGAGGCAGAAGTGCTAGCGCTTCACCTTGAGTTGGAAATGAGACCCTGCCTACTTGTACTGTGTTTTATAAACAGCAGCTATGGCCTGGGGAGTCGGGAAACCATGTCTCACACAGCCCTCCGTCCAAGGGCCCCGCTTGCATGAGGTCGCCACCCTCTCTCTCCCTAATTCCCTCAAACACAGAAATGGGTGTTACATTGTTTCTGGATAATTTTTAACTGAGAATTCTGACTTGCCCCTATTTGTGTAGCCTTTTCCTTATCCAGAAATGGGGCAGATGGCAACAGTCTCCTTTCAGACACATGAACTCTCCTCAGTCCTGCCTGTTTGATTTCTGTATATTTTTCTAAATGTTTGGGAGTGGGATGAGCCTCAGAGCATCTAGCAAATGGGGTTGATTTATTAAAACAATTTTTAAGATACTGTCAAAGGAATTTTTAAAAGTTCACCATTGTAATATTGTGCAATTGTCTTCTCCATGTTTTCTTCTAATTTTTTTCATATGCATGTATGTTTTACTTTTATAATTATAATATGCATATGATGTGTCCAATGTGGTATTTACTACCATTCCCTAAAATTGTATTACGTTTTTCTTCCTAGCTGTAATTTTAATAGCTGGAGAAAACGTTGCTTATTTGCTGTTGCATAATGTATTTGATCAGCCTGTTGGAGACATCCTAACTGGGTGTTTCCATGGTTTGCTACTATGGCTGATACTGCTACATACAGATCAATGTGTCCCTAGAGCATTTGTTCTTTTGACTTTTGTCCTTGGAATAAGTTCCCAGGAGTAGGATTACTAGGTCACAAAGAGGATAACTTGATTTTCCACACAGACTTAAGCTTTTTCCTGCATCCCCCAAGAGGGGAAAAAGAATATTGTTATGTCTTCCTTAATTATAATTATTTTTCCTCCCATCTCAGAAGCAAAGACTTAAAGTAACTTAGATTAAGCAAAGACTTAAAGAGTTTCAAATACTGCATTTTTGAAACTCTTCTCTAACCTCAGGGACAAATTGAAGGAGCCTATGTCCTGGCCTTGGGAACACCACAGCCTTCTGCTCTGATAAGCTGGAAGTAAAAGCACACACATGCTGTGCAGGGTTAACCATTTCTTCCCCGGTTTCTTCTCAGGTAGAAGAAGGAAGAAAAAGCCAGACAAACAAAAAACCACCATCCCTCAGTGAGCAGGAAGCCCCAGACCATTGACCAAACAACCACACGAACAAGTCTTTCTTGCTTCTGTAGGGGAAGAGGGACTCAGGGAGGTCCTGGAGCTGTCTCTTTTTGCTATGAACAGGATAGTCCCTGGCTGCCTCTGGACTCCTGCTAAAGCCTTTTATTACTTCCCAGTGTTCCAGTTCAGGGGCCTCACCAGAGCCAGCTGTGCTTTGTGGAGGGGTAAAGGGGCTTGTGGGGGAGGGGCGGAGGGAGAGAGGAAGAGAGAGGAAGAGAGAGGAAGAGAATATAGGGAGGAAGTGTCTAGCTTGCTGGTCTCTAAGGGTCCTGCCCCTAGCATTTTTGTCTGACACATAATAAAGATCTGCATCTAAGGCTATAGTAAAGCAAGGACTGTTTCCCTTTTTTGGACACACTTGAGGCTTAGTGTATTGAATCCTTCATACCCTGAGACAGCAATGGGCAGCTGTGTAGTGGCCAAAGTCTTGTTTGCCCGCAGAGCAGTAGCCCTTGCCCTGCAAGCTGTTGCTGTCAGCAGGTGCAGCCCTGGCCTGTAGGCCTCCCCGGAAGTCGGTGACTCCTCCTCTCTCCCTCTTTGTAGGCTTGCCTAAGGAGAGCCTAGTCCCATCCATTTGCTGCTGGCTAGATTCCTGACGAGGGGTTGGGCATGCCTGTATTATACCCACACCCATCTCCCTCTGTAATCTCTTCCCTCTAAACAGCTAAGTTCTGTGTTTTCCTTTGCTTCCTGAGCTTTGGACTTTGTTTCAATTCCTGATCACTGTTCCTTATTTCCTTGTTAATCTGCTTTTCCTCTGCTGCCCGATGTCTTGCAGTCCTCCTCTTTGCTAGCAGCCCGGCAGGCTTCCACTGAAGTACCTACTGCTGCAGACCTTGTCAGTGCAATAGAAAAGTTGGTCAAAAACAAGCTGGTAAGTGGGCGTCCTGGAGGCAGTTCTGTGTGTGTCTCACCTCCACGCCGCTCCGGCCTTGCATCTATCTGCCGTTTTCTCCTTTCTACCTGTCCTCGTTCCTCCTGTGTGATTGTTTACAACTAATGATGGTTTCTTAAAAGTTGTGCCCTAGAGACCTTTTTGACTTTGTCTGGGAATGGGCATAGGGAATTGATAGACCATTTGGGGGTTGCAATGTTGATAAAAGTTGAAAAGTATCCAAGACAAACTTACCTCATTGCAAGCCTGATCCAGTGGCCCACAGGCAAGTGGCATTCAGTCAGGGATTGCTGTATGTTTGGTTAGCCCAGAAGCAAGTATGTTGTGATGCTGAGACACAGAACCCACTGACTGGATCTTTGAAAGCACCAGAAGATTTTATCTGAGGACCTCAAGTAGCCTTCCAGCTTGCTGCAAAATCTTACAAAAGTTGACTGCTGATTATAAAGGGGAATGGGCAAAAGTGTGTGGATACCTCAGCACAGTAAATTAAGAGAGCCAGTGCCTAGCCCTTGGGGGGAAACTGAACATAAGCCACTGGCAGCCTGTCTAGCCTGTGATGGTCTTATGGACCCATCAGCCTATTGGAGGGACAGATGATAAGTCTGAGCAGGTTTGGGGTTTTGGCGTGATGCTGGTGAGAGAGCCCCCTTTTGGATAGCTCATTAGGATAGAGCTGTTCCTCCACTCTTGTGTTTTTACATTTAAGTGTGTCACCACAGGATGACCATTGGAAGCATTTTCCTTCCTTTCGCTCTCATCCGTATCACCCATTTGGCTTTCCCTCCAATTCTCATTAGGCTAAATGTCTGTGCTTCTGCCAGACTTCTGTTGGGCAGTCTTATTAATTACTTGGCCCAGGAACTAGAGGAAAATGATGGGTGCTGTCTAGGGGAAGCTACCTAATAATTTTGACTACAGTAACTCCCTTTTCACATATCTCAGCATATGATTTATAAATGAGGTTTAATACATATGATTTTATTCTTTTCCTGCTAAATTTTCCTTTCTAATTAAAAAAAAAAAAAACCCTGCTGTTTCAAGTAACTAGTGTCAAACTCTTGAGGGTTGTCCATTTTCCTTGCATCTCTCCCTTTCCTACCAGCAGGAATTAAGCACTCTTGTGGGCACTACATTGACTTTTCGAAGACCCTTCTCTGACTACTCACTTGCTCTCCCTCCCTCTCCACACCAACCCTTATACCCTCTTCATTTTTCCAATGCTATATTTATTTTTTTTCTTGAAGTCATCCTCTTTCTTTCTTTTTTTTTTTTTTTTTTTTTTTTTTTTTTTTTTTTTTTTTTTACCCTCTGGGCCTGGGCCTTGACTTCATTCCTGGATTATTGCAGTGGCCACTGCTTGCTCTTTCCCCACCCAGTCTGTCTTCACCACCAACTGGTCTTCCGTAAGCACTGCTTATTGCCTCCTTCTTGGCGATATAAGTAGTGGTCTCCAATGTGGGGGTGCCCTTGGGTACATAGGACAACTTATTGGGGTATGGGAAGAAAATATTACAGCCTCTTTATATCATTTTAAAATGGTTTCATGTATGTTTTATTATGTATGTAATAAAACAGTAGCATAGATGTAGAATTTATAAATAAGTTACATGCTTTGGGGTACATGAACAAAGTTATGTTCAATGACAGGGATATATAATCAAAGTTTGAGAATCACTGGCCTATACATAAAGTCCACACTTACCTAATATTCTGATATTTTTGTAGCCTGTTCTCCAACCTACCTTTCCAGCATCTAGTTCTTTATCTGGTTGGTGAACTCTGCTCCAAACAAATTGTTTTCTTTGCTATCCCCAAACTCACACATGGCTTTCTTCCTTCCAAGTTTTTGTTCATATGGCCCCACTTCTCTGGAATGTTTTTCCTCTTATGTTAGCTTACCTAGAATATAATGATCATTCAGGGTCCTACTCAGATCTCTTCTCTACAAGGTCTTCTCTGACCAGACTAGCCCAAATTTCCATTGTAAACCCATGGTAATTAATAAAGCCACATGCTACCTGGGACAGCTTTTAAGTAGCCTTGTGGCATAATTTGTTAAAATATCTTAATGTTTTCATTTGCATTTTACCTCTCTAGCTAGATGGTAAGTCATTTAGGATATTATTATTTTTTGCTCTATTAGTTTAAAAAAGTCTTTTACACTTAGTGGATTTTTCATGAATACTTGTTTCCAAAGTCTATTTTTATATTATGGATTACCTTTTGCCTACTACTACTGCTAACCTTTGCACTGCTGACAGTCTCTGGGTCTCTAAGTTGTGTTATCAATGGTATTAAACATGGTTAGGTATTAAACATGTAAATACATTAAACAAAGACATAGGGAAGTCCCATGAAAGCAAATTTTCTAGAGAAGAAGGGATGAGGGATGGCATTGGTGTTGATTGGCTTTATTACAGGCTCTCAATAAATGTCTGTTGAATGAATGTCCTTTCTGTGGTGAGTGTGCCATAATGAAGGATTTAACTTCTTCCAGCAATAACTACTCTTAAGGACTTACAGTAAGCCCAGAATTAGAGATATCTTTGGCTTAACATGTAAAACCAAGCTCACGTCACAGAAAGGAAAAAGGGAGCAGTGGTTTGGTTTCTTAGAATCTTCCTACCAAAATTTGATTCTTGTTTCTTTTTACCACTTTCTTCCCTTCCAACATGGGACAGCAATGTAACAGGTTGAGAATATCTTAGCCATGCCCAGGAGCACTAAGTTGCATTTTCACCTTCAAGACTCTTAGTCCTATTCCTTATCAGTTCTTCAGTTTAGAAGAAAAGATCCATAGCCCATAAAAGCTCTTGAGTATTTATCTGACTAAGTACAACTTCCTGATAGCTGCTAAGATAGCTAGTTTTATCACAGGCTTGGTTAATGAAAGTACAATGTGCAGATGAAGAAAAGCAATAGTGTTCAAAGGTATTCAGACCACACACGTCATGAGCTGTGTGTGAATAATGTATTCTATTCTTTTTTTTTTTTTTTAGACAGAGTCTTACACTGTCATCGAGGCTTGGGTGCAGTGGCATGATCTTGGTTCTCTGCAACCTCTGCCTCCCAGGTTCAAATGATTCTCGTGCCTCAGCCTCCTGGGTAGCTGGGATTACAGGCGCACACCACCACACCTGGCTAAATTTTGTATTTTTAGTAGACACGAGGTTTCACCATGTTGGCCAGGTTTGTCTCAAACTCCTGACTTCGGTGATCTGCTGGCCTAGCCCTCCCAAAAAGTGCTAAGATTACAGGAGTGAGCCACCATGCCTGGCCAATGTAGTCTATTCTAAATTCAACCTTTTACAGTGTTCTTGAACAAACTTGAGGCCCCCAGAAGAGGTAACCGGACCATGTGGTCCATGTAGTATGAAGGAAACTTGAGGAAACCAAGGTGAAGTATGGGGAGAAGTTAGAAGAAGACACATGAGAGCTGTCTTCTAGTAATTGAAGCACTGCCATGGGAATGAGGTTGCAAAGAGCAGACTCTCTGTAACTCCAGAGGGCAGAACCTAGACCTGTGAGTGGGAGTTTTTTTCATTCCACAGGAGGAAGAACTTATAAAGTCCTTTCCACTTTACAGAGTTAAATTCCATCTTATAGGAGCATCTGGTATTCTTACACTTTATTGAGTCCTTAAAGTCTTTCTGCCTCATTGGTTGCTCAAGCCATGGCAACAAATTCTGCATTAGAATTCACTTGCCCCCTCCTGGCTCCACCCAAAGGCCATGAGATCCCTCATGTTCTTATCTCCCAGAGCTGCCCCTGTTGCTTTTCGGTCACTTGGTCATTGTTATACCAAAGCTTCTGCATGTTATACCACAGTTATGATCTCCACTGCACAAGACCTACTGTTAAGGAACAAAAACAGGGTTTGTCCACAGTGCAGATAAAACTCTTAAAGACTCACCACCCACCCATAAGTCCTTCTGGACATTAATGGGCCCCTTCTGTGGTCTTGCCACCAGCCTCGGTCTTTAATCAGTGCTTCTGTTTATCAAGAAAGGATGCACCCCTCACCTCCCCAGATAGAACTAACATACTTTTCTGGGTTTTGCATTAAGGTATTTTCTTTAAGCCCAGAACAGGGCTCCCCTGCTTTCTCTGTGTGATTTTTAATAGCCTTTTCTAGACCTGTGGACTGTTGCTGCTGGCAGTGAGTGTATAAGAAATCGGAAGATCTGGGATTTAGTCCTGCCTCTGCTACTTACTGTATAGTCCTGAGAAAATTATTTAGTCTACTTGGTGTTCTCTTTTACCTCACTTATTGCTGATGATGATTCTGTCTACTCAAATCTAATCCCAAGAGAGTTATAATGATAATTGAGTAGGTGTGAATGGGCTTTGTAAACTGGTAATCAAGCATCTGCAAATGTTAGTTCTTAGCCACCTCAACTGCCATGTGAAGGACAGGGAAAGGAAACTGTGTCATTCTTATCTCCTGTAGTCTGGTATGAAGCTGGGCACATGGAAACTTAGTATTTGCCAGTGATAGATTGGTTGGGTGTGGCCAGGCGTGGTGGCTCATGCCTGTAATCCCAGCAATTTGGGAGGCCAAAGCGGGGGAGGCGGGGGAGGTCTTGAGGTCAGAAGTTCGAGACCAGCCTGACCAACATGGTGAAACCCCGTCTCTACTAAAAATACAAAAATTAACTGGGTGTGGTGGCACATGCCTGTCATCCCAGCTACTCAGAAGGCTGAAGCAGGAGACTCACTTGAACCCAGGAGGCGGAGGTTTCAGTGAGCTGAAATCACACCACTGAACTCCAACCTGGGTGACAGAGCAAGACTGTCTAAAAAAAAAAAAAAGACTGGTTGGGTGAATATTTCAGGGTAATAGCTTAACAGTCTATACGATTTGGTTTTATTCCCCAAGTTTCAGAAACAAGAACTTCCTGGCCATGTGAGAATCCAGTGTATCTCTAAACTGAAGTCTGGAGCCCCAGACTTCTACCATCTTCCTGGCATGAAAG